TTTTATTTCAGTGCCATGTCCATCTCCTGAACAAGGAGTTTTCATATTTGATTAGGAGTTCTCTGATGGAGGCTACGGATTGGGAAAGCTCTTCGGGAGGAGCTAGTGGTGATGATGAAATTTACGAGCAAGATGTAGAAGATGAAGAAGAATGTCTGTGTGCATCTGGGAACATGCGCAAGTTGCAATTTAGGTAGAGAATTTCAAGAATTTAGACTCCTTTGAAACCTCCAATAGGAAGGTGCTATTCGCTTATTATTAGGTATGTGATGGTGTGTCAAATATTTTATCTGTCTCTAGGAAGCATGCTTCAACTGCTCGATGGAATGATCAAATGGGAATGGCAGAAGTTTTAGAGAACAGGGGTAGCCTTTGGACGACAACTGGCATTGTACGTTGTGGCAAGATTTATTGCTCCTTTGAGGAAACTTTGTATGTTGAACTATGATTTTACTGTGGTTTTCTTATTATCCCTATTGCTTTTTGATATTGATCACAACATTTTATGGGGAGTTTTCTTTCTTATTTTGTCTTACTGTGATTACAATGAAGTAGGGTAATATTGTAAAAGAGAAGTGTGAGTTTCTTCAAGCCTAGGCCAGGCAATTGAGAAACATGTTGTCTTAGGGTGTGCCTTTTGCTCTGAAAACATTGAGGGTGACAAAAACTTCGGCTCAAAAATAGAGTTGTCCTATTCAAGCAGAAAAATACTCTTTTACCTTTTCATTTTGTTTTTTAAATAGAGATGTTTGATCTCGATCTCTTTGAGACACAAGTTTTAAGTATGCTATTAAATATTCATTTCTGCATTTTCAGATTTCTTATGGAAGTTGGGGCCTTGCATCTTCTGGATCATGATAATTCAAGTCTTTCTTTGAAAGATGTATATAAGAAGGTAGCTGAAGGAAAAAACGGATGTCTTTGGGAGCAGTTTGAGGTTTATAGACACCTCAAGTCTCTTGGTTTCATTGTTGGAAAGCATAAAGTTCCTTGGTCTGTGAAGGGTGTTAGGAATGGCAGTGACATTTCTCCTCAAAGTTCTATTGAGAACGAAGGAGCATGGGATTTGGAATCAAAAGATGAGAGGTCGATCTCTGAACTATTAAGTTCCATTCAGCTCGATCAAGTGATGCCCATTTTTGATGTTTTTCTTCCACATAGCAAGTTTAGAAAGTCTTCTCCTGGTGACCCAAATTTTATGGTCTGCTTGACCAGGTAAGTTCACCTATTATCAAAAATCCATTCTTCCTTTCGACCTCACTTCTTGCTGGCTTATTTGTTTGGCATGCATTTTTTGTTTTTGTAAACTTCTTAGTATGATATAATTAAAAGTGACTTGCACCTGACTTGACTTCTTAACTTCTTAAGAATTCGCTTAATCTAAGTAAGTTCAGTATTGTCATCACCAATACTAGCGTTAATTCCTTAACTAGAGGACAATATATTTGACCCTTAGATAGTGAGTGAACCATAACTTTTGTGTTCAAATTTTTTTAAATTGCACCCATTGTGTTTGTGTCCTTTGAAAAAGGTGTTTTTAAGTGGGTCATTTATTATATAAGCACTTTTGGAAGAAAATATGTGAAATGATTCTTTAAAGTGCTCGAAGTGTTTTTTTAATCTTTTTAGAAATTTCTCAAACTACTTTTGATTATTGCATACTTCAATTTCCAAATAACAAAACCAAAATCCAAGATGTCTTAAGACTACCCTTCCCATAAGATAACCTCCTCTTGTTTCTACAGCAAATGTTTCAAATTGAAAGAATAGAGAATGGGACTTCGGAAAGTCGTAAAACAGTAAGCCCTGGACAAACTACTTCTGATTATTGAAAATTTTAAAAAGTTCTTTTACACTTCTTACCACTCTCTAATATTTGAACTGAACACCAACCATTAAAAAGACATTTTTAGTCCTCAATGAGCACTTTAAAAGGCAAGCCGAACACACACCTAGATCAGTATAATCTATACCAATTTTGTGGCGGTGAAATTGTTTAAGCAATATATCAACTCAATTTATAGCCTTCTGTGACTATTTAGTTGCATTCTTGAATAAAGGTCAATAGGCTTCATATGTCAGTTTCTTTCTTGTGGAACAGTCTATGCATTGCTTAACTTGAATTTATCTGATCTTTGAATTACTGTGAGTCTGTGACGGTGTGATTTAAACTTTTATGTAGGGGATATCCACCTCCAAAGAAAGATATTGAGTTTCTTGAGAGAACATCCAGAGGCATTCATATAAAATATTGTCATGTAGAACATGGGCGTGTCTGTTTCTTTTCATTTGATAAGTTGGAGCTTCCTGTCTTACCTTAGGCATTGTTGTGGATTGGTCATGTAAACTACTATGGTAAAGCATCCCTCTAGAGCTGAAGCTCTGCTATTCCAAGATTTACTTCTTTGGATTTGTTTGGTATGTGATTTTAAATCCTCTTTTATGTTTTCAGATGTGTAGAATTAAATGAATCTGGAGGTAGAATGTTTGGTGGGCATATTTTTTAAAACAAAATTCTGAAGTTGTTAACTTGGAAATTATTTATTTTGAAAACTGATTTTAGGTATTTCCAATGTTTTCAGATGGGTCAATTTTAATGAAAAAGTGAATCCTGTCTCCCAACTTTCTGTTTCTGTTTTTTACATTGCTCCTTTTCATCGGGGCTTTTATCTTCGAACATGAAAAGTTTTGTTTCTTGTTCAAAAAAGAATCCCGTCTCCCAACTCCGGACAGAAAGCCACATGCCTGATGCCTGGATGTTTTGTTATGGATTGGAAAACGAGGTATTATTCTATTTTCGCACATCCTTTTGCTTTCTCTCTTCTGCTTCAGGCACAGATATTAGTAGTCCTCATTTTCAACTATATGATGAAAGTTATTCCAGATATCTGCCAGCCCTTTTGCTTTTGTTTTTGTGGCATTGTCTGTACTTTTTCCATTAAAGTTTGTAGTTTCTAAAGGAATTCAAATGATAATGTTGCCTCTGGGTCTGATCAGTTTATGGTGGTCCTTCAAAATTTTCCTTTTGTCTTGTTCATTTTTGGGAAGCAGAAATATTTTCTCGTCTGAGTTTCAATGGCAGGTGATGAGGAAGGAGATAAGATGGAAATTTTGGAATCCTAAACAGTGGGAGTGCGTGTTAACGAGGCCTATCCCTATTTATTTTTTTTTAAGTTTGTTATTATTATTATTATTATTTTATGAAAGAGTGTGCTTTAAATTATTATTTTGGTAACAGAGAAAAGTAGGTCCATAGCTCAACTAAGGCACCTGTCTCCAACAAAATATTAAATTAAATAGATGGTAAACCAAAATATTAAATTAAATAGATGGTGGAGGGGGCAAGGAAGAAAAGGAAAAAGAAATTTTGGTTTTAGCAGAAAAGTTTTCCCTCTATGACCTTGAACAGGATCTCTTCCATAGGCTGTACAACTGTTTCCTTGAGTTAATCATCAGCGCATCTCTCTGAGTCATTCCCCACACTCTGGAGCATAGACCTGCACCCTTCGCTATGTAGGTAAGGTGGAAGGTGGGTAAATATTTGTTAGTAGTTTGTGATGCTAAAGTTTGGAAATTTTGCCTTTTCTTTATGAGTCTGCATGGCTAAAATTTGCGGGTGTTTGCACGTTTTTTTAACGAGGTTTTGGTGCTGGAATTTTCTGGCTGTTTGAGCGCTGTTTTTATGAGATTTTGGTGCTGAAAGTTTGCGACTATTTCGGCCTTTTTATGAGATTTTGGGCCTGATTTTTTTGGGGTAACCATAGATATAACCATTTAAAGTAGAAGATTTGTACTACTGTTTTATGGACGAAATTACACTCTTCTAAAATAATTTTAAAATGAATTTGTTATTTTTCCTTTTTTATAGGAGAACCTAACCCATCTTTATAGGATAATTCAAATATTTTTTGAATCCTACCGATCTAATTAGAAATAGAAATACTAACATTCGAGCTCGAACAAATGGATGAACAAATACGTGAACAAAGAAACAGAAACAACAAATAATACACAAATATGATGAACATAGAAGCAAAAGTATAACAAATACGATGAATACAAAACCTCTCTCTGCTCTTTCTCTCATGAACTTCAACCGCGCTAGTCGTAATAGACCGACTTTCATGCTTGTTCTTGCTCCAGCATGAAAGTTCCATTTCAGGGAAGGACGACGTACCATGATACTTTCTGTTTTGTCAAGCCCAGCTTTGGTCTCTGGTTTGATGGTTGTACGTGCTAAAAATCCGGTACATTCCATTTTGTTTCTCATCCCAGTCTTTCGCAACACTTCAGGCTTACTTCTTCTGTTAGGTCTCGACTTCTTTGCTATGATCTTCCCAGTAGTTCATATAGGAGCTATAGCCATTTCATTCCTATTCGTTGTTATGATGTTCCATATTCAAATAGCGGAGATTCACGAACTTTCCCAAACCACAGGGAGTGGTAGAAGTTCGATCTGGAACAACACCTGTCGGTACCCCTGCCTTTGTTAATCTCCTAAACCAAGCCACATCGATCAAGCTAGATTGCAACAACTTCAAGCTCTGGCAGAATATTATACTGGCGATTCTAAGGAGCTACAAACTTGAAGGACATCTCACAGGGAAGAGTGTTGCCCCTGAAATGTCCATTATGATCCCTCCATCTGAAGAAGAACCCCAAGGTTTGCTAATGCCCAACCCTAAATATGATGTTTGGAGTACTGATCAACTTCTTCTCAGTTGGTTTTATAACTCGATGACCTTTGAGGTTGCATCTCAAGTCACAAGCTGTGAAACCACTCATGAGCTCTGGACAGCGCTTCAAGACTTCTATGGCATTCAAGCTACCTCTCAAAAGGACTATATCAAGAGCATGATGCAACAAACTCGAAAAGGGGGTATGAAAATGGCCGATTATCTAAGCTTAATGAAAGGATGTGCTGATAGTTTGCATTTGGCAGGTTCTCCGATGGACATCAAAGATCTCATTTCATGTGTTATTGCTGGACTTGATGAGGAGTATACACCTATTGTGGTGGTTATACAAAATATGAAGATGAATTGGAATGAAGTTCAATCACAACTCTTAACGTTTGAAATGCGCCAAGCCCAGTTCCAAGCCCTAATGTAGTTAGGCATCAGAATCAGTCTCACTTCAAGAATCATAACGGCAACTCCAACAAAAACACTCGTGTTAGCAACAAGAACACTCGGTTATCCAATTCCAGCTCCTCTAAGCCTATCTGTCAAGTATGTGGTAAGGTAGGGCACACTGTTGTGTATTATTATCGTTATAAGAGGAACTTTAACAACGATCAAAGCCACAATATAGGGGGTGGCAGCCCTTATTCCATAACAGTCCCCAGGAGACCCCACTGCCATGGTTGCCACACCAGAGAATCTCAATGACACAGCCTGGTATTTAGACAGTGGGGCGAGCAACCATGTCACAGTTGACCTTGGCAATCTGTCTATCAAGAGTGACTACACATGTATGACATGTATTACTGTTGAGAATGGTTTTAAACTCCCTATCCCAATCTGTTGGTAGTTCCTTTATACCGTCCAATGCTAAACACTTGATTCTAAAGGATCTTTTGCATGTACCCCAGATTAGAAAGAATTTGATTAGTATTTCTCGTTTAACCTTGGATAATAATGTAGTGGTTGAATTTTATGATTCTTTTTGTGCTATTAAGGACAAAGTCACGGGGAAGGTTCTTTTGGAAGGAACGCTTAGGATGGACTGTACTAGATTCCTCCTTTTCCAGCCTCTTATCATCCTTTTAGTCAAGAGTTCTCAAGGAATAAGTTCACTTATGTTGCTTTTGTATCCCAGATGACACGGAAATGTCAGGATGAGGCTTTGTTCGTTACCTCTCCTGGCAGTCATCATATTTTGTATTGTACCAAGGATGTCTGGCGTAGCAGCTTGGTCATCCCTCTTCTCGCACTCTGAATCACATCTTGACTACTTTAACTTGAAAAGTAAATCTAATGAGAAACTCTCTTTTTGTGAGGCTTGTCAATTATGGGAAATCACATAAGTTGCCTTTCTCAATTTCACAATCTCGTGCAACTAAACATTTGGAACTGGTACATCTTTGGGGACCCGCCCCTATTGCATCTTTAAATGGCTATCTATATTATATCAGTTTCCTTGATGACTTCTCTCGCTTCACATGGATATTTCCTCTTAGAAGCAAAAGTGATGCTATAGTCATTTTTAAGCAATTCAAGTCCCAAGTTGAGAACTTGTTTGAGACCACAATCAAAACCATTCGATGTGATGAAGGGGGAGAGTTCAAACCTTTGTCTTGGTATGCTTTAGATATTGGAATAAAAATTCAACTTGCTTGTCCCTATACCTCCCCTCAGAATGGGAAGAGTTGAAAGGAAGTATAGGCAAATTGTTGAAACCGGCTTAGTATTGTTAGCTCAAGCCAAGATGACATTAAATTTCTGGTGGGATGCTTTTCACACTGCTGTTTACCTAATAAACCGGCTTTCTACTACTGCACTTGATGGCAAAGTGCCCTTTGTAGCTCTTTACAACCAGCAACCTGATTACAACTTCTTACGAGTGTTTGGATCTGCTTGTTACCCCTGCCTACGATCATATCAGAAGCA